TTATTCCCAAGTCTGGAACCCCATCAGATGGCTCAAACTTCAGACATATTTCCATCGTTCCTGCCTTTCCTAAGCTTATCGAAAGAGTGTTGCGGTGACAGCTTAACTCCAGTATGATCGCATATAAAATTTTTTTCTCATTCCAGCGCGGTTTTCGCTGCCGGCTCTCCACAGAAGCCGGGTTCCGTACTGTACCTTACCGTACCGTATCCTTGCCGCCAGTAACCGCCAGGAACTTACTCTTCTCTGCCTTCGTGACCTTTCAAGATGCTGTGGTGTGGTGAACCACACAGAGTTTCTTCTCAAACTTCAGGCCTGTCCTATCGATTTTACCTCGTTTTCTTCTTGCCTCCGTGATCCTATCCAATCTGCTTGTTCTGTTGACTGGCGTGGTAACTGAACCTTTCCAAGCCACAGCCAATCCTATCGGTGCTTTTCAACAATCCTCCCTTGGCCCACTCCTCCTTCAGATCTTTATCAACGACGTGTACCTGTTCGTCCCTGACGTGCGCGTGGTCCAGTGTGCCGGTGATGCTCAAGTTTTTATGTATGGAAAAAGACCCCTCGCACAGCTCATTGCTACTATGAAACAGACACTGAAGTCTGTAGACATCTGGCTCCACCCTCACGGTCTGTAAGTAAATACTGGTGAAAAGGAGCTTAAAGCCTGTGGTTCCTATCAGAGTTGTCGTGGCATCGCTCCCATTACTGCGCGGTTTCACGATGATGCAGTGCGTGATCAAAATTTCAATATTCTCACTTGCTGTACCATATGCATGCTTCTTTGATATGAACAAGTGGATTGCTGATGCCCCTGATTTATTTTGATTGCTTGCCACTCTCTACGGTCTACATGCCACAAATAAGGGAGAAGTGTCTTTTCTTCTGTAAGTGTTTGCTTTTCGCACTGCAATATTCTGCGACCAGTTTGTATTAGGCCTAGTTCCCACGGAAAATTGCTAGATAGGGATGGTGCAGGCATATTTCTGTGCAAGGGTTTTGATATCAGACCCTGAACTGAAGCAAACAACTTAATATTTGATCGTAGGATTGATATCGTTAGACCGAAAGCTTGATTTAGGTGATTACGATGCTGGCCTCGTTCTACGTGATGTGAGGCGGGAACAACTTCTGTGATGCGATCAGATTCAAAGCGAAATCAGGAACAAATAAACTGAAGCACGATTGTTTTTTATTTTCCGATATTTTTCATTAGATTAGGGGCTTTTGCCGGGCGTCAATATTTGTCGCCATTGTGGGCATGTTAGGCACACGGCGCCCCAGGCTATATTGTGCCGCCTCTCTCACCCGGTGGCGGGCAGGGTGGACACCCCCGGGGAAAAGAGACATATACCTCTGGTTTCCCAGATGTGATATCTAACCACTGCACCCTCAGCACCCTGCCCAGCGTCTGTAGCAGTCGTCTTCTGCATGGTCTTCAGCAGCCGAAACGGCGTCTTCAACAGGTGCTGTGCGGAGAATCGCTAAATGGCAAACCGGCATTGCCGCCCATTCAAGGTGCTATGCTTCTCTGATCGGAACCACTACTGGTTTTACCGTTGTGTTGTATTGGTAAGTACTGAAAGCTTAGCTAACCTCGCTCTGACAGGGGGCAGGGGAGGCAACCCCCCAAGGTTGTTTGCTAACATCTCCCTGACATGTCGTGCGATGACCTCCATTTTTCAGAAGCGTCTTGTCCATCCATTACACGTGTTTTGTATCCCAAGGCACATCCCTAGTATTTTTTAGTGCAAAACAGTGTTTTTCGGGGAGCAGTGTGCTACAATGTACGACTGGCGTGCGCATCAGTCGACAACCACCCAATCACGGCGGCGGGTACAGCACAGTTATGACGCGCGGGGACGTTCTAACATCACGAAACCCTACGTCATCCACATTTGCTCAAAATACACACACAGATACAACTGGGTACAAAAATACCAAAAATGAACAGGGATCACGACTGTGTGTCATGCTGCTGGGCTGCATGGATTGGTATAAAGTAACATAGGGATTACCACAGCTCCATTAAAAAGGGTTTTTATACAGGCCAATGGTCAACATGTGGCCAATAACTAACCTAGCCATGCTGAATTTGTGACCAATCGTCGGATCTCGCTGAGCCCAATTTACTTCTATAAAAACGTCGAATCCGGGCGCGGTTATAAATCTATGCTTTCTTTCTGTATGTATGCTTCAAGATGTGAAAAAGTACAGCCTTAAGCAGCTGGAAACATTTAACAGACCATTGTCAACATTTAGGATGTCATTTGGCTGCACGCGCGCGTAACTCGTAACGCGAATGTCTGACTCGAAAAGCAAAACTATTTTCTTTGAACTTGTTCTGAACAGCTCGAATTTCCCGTATGAACAAGCAATTTTGCGGAGTTTGCCCATCTTGTTTCTTGCCTCTCACTTGCGGAAATATTTGTTTTTGGTAAGAGTTGCTTCGGTTTTGTTCACCTGCGGCCAAACCATTCGCTTACCGGACCTTCAAACCAACTTTATTTTGTAATTAATAGCATGCGAGCTTATCATAAGTCACTTCGATGCAGATACCCTAGCAATCATAGATCCAGGCATCGTTATGCAAGACAAACGTTTGTTTCGCCAGTAACGACATCAAAGTACACTATGCGGTCGACTTTTGAGATTTGGATTTTTTCGCATCTGACTCGCCAGTGCGGGGGCAGATGTCCCGATCACGCCAGACGCAGATGTTCGTTCATCCCAGATGTCCGAATACCTCACCAACGTACGATAATGTGCACCCTCCACTGCAGATGATATCGATAATATCGACAGCAGCCTGTCAAGCTGAGGCCCTGACAGCGCTTTCCGATCAGAAGACAGCGTCTCAGAAGTGAAACTGTGGTATATTTCTGGTGCATGAGGAAGGCGAAACAAACCTGGTTAATTGTAACTATACATATTCACCCGATGTATCACAAGGAGACTTGTGGTAGATAAACACATTTAGGGCGGGTCATGGCACGTGTGCTGTTGGAGGTTTACGCAGACGGCTACGTGACGTTTCTCGTTCTTCGAATAATTCGCGTAACAACCGTGTTTGCAACATCATGCTGATCAGAAGTAAACAAAGGAGACGTAACACACTTGCACAGTAAGGATGTCTTGTTCTACACTTTGTTTGGTCTTGCGCCAACATGAAAACACATTAGCAATGAATACATGACATGCAAAGTAACTATGCCTTCGTCACAACTTGCACGTGTTTGTTCTTTCTAAACTAACCAGGAAACCCATGAACAAGCATTGATCAGTTTACATGCTGTCTCTTCCAACGGTAACTTTACCATGAGTCCAATGTATGCTTTTCCATCTGAAGGAGCACGGAAACATTCCCATAAACAATTCCCACTACATGCGACTGGGATAGCATAGATGTATTTTCCCTGCTCAGTTGAGCGAAATCCAGCAAATGTAACATTTCGTGGTGTTTGAACCGTGCAGTTTCAGTTGGCGTTGGAGGGATTTGAGAAGAGGAAAAGGAAAGCGAAGAAGGTTGCACGTGTACGCCGCCGCCGAAACGTTATACATCACTGCATGATCCAACCTTATATCAAGCTCCGTGTAAAACCCGGCACCTCAAGCCACTTTCTCCCACTTTTCCAACTCGCTCCGTAAAGCTCAGACACTAACGCATCCGCCGTTATCGACTTTCTGCCTGGTACGCTTTGTACCGACGAACAAACTTCTCAGCTTCTAACGTCACTACGCCCTGGTGGAAACCGAACTTAGTTCGCTGCTGCGAGAGTCAGACTCAGAACTCCTAATGCACAGCCCGATACCTTATCCACCGGATGCTTCAAACCCCCCTCCCGAAAGAGCTCGGTTGATAAGTTCGACTGAAAGCCCTTTGGTGCGCCGCCCTGTCCACAACATTACATAGAGTTAGTCCCTGTCTTACGGCTCCAGCATTCAGCTGGAACTGAATCAGAGCCAGTAACGTTGAAACCGTGTCTGGCACTCCGCAGCATTTCCGGCGCCAGGTAAGTTATGTCCTGTTTGTAGTAGGATGCAGGACGGCACCCTGCTCGCTACCAAACTTTATCAGCATTTGGTCGGCACGCATAGGCTCGGTGCCATTCTAAAAACAAAACGCTGCGTCCGCACTCCTCACTCCCTGCCCCGGTCGCTTTCCACATAATGAAACGTGGGGAAGTGGTGGAAACCTCTGGGATGCTGACTGAAGAACTCCACTCCGGGTTCTCGCTCCCGCACGTGGTCTTGCACTCCGGAGTGCTGGTCAGAGTGCCGGTCGGAGTGGTCCCGGGCGCTGACGTCCAGCTCCAGTCCGAGGCTGGAGTGCCGGCGCCGGAGTGTGGCCACCTCGTACGCGCGGGCGCGGTTTAGGTTGTCGTACTGGTGTCTGGAGAAGGGAGGCGAACCGCCGGCTAGCGGCCGAAGCTCGGCCGCGAGACGGCGCTCCCGACGCTCGTGGTCGAAAAAAGAGGCGCTAGTGTCGCCGTCCGAGGCGTGCCGCCGCGCCCCATGCTCCGGGCCAGGACGGTGTTGTTTTGCGTAGCCTCTGAAGAAAATGGTAGTAAAACTGAGAACCTCAATCAGCATGGAGCAAGTTGACAGGCCTTTTGAAATGAATTCAATGTCTACCGTGTAGATTTTTGGTGATAACTGTACGGAGTAGTAAGCTTGACATCCATCCTCAAGCTCGTTTATTGCGAAATCACCCCACCTCTGCAGTACATCCTTGGCTAAATCAGTGTCAATGCGCATGCGCCAGGCGATTCCACTCTGACCTCTGGATGTTGCGTGTGACGCGGCCTTGGTCCACACACAGGCGGCTCACCTTCCGAGCGACGGCAGGGCCACCTGTTGGCGTCCCGCGAAACTCGAATGACTCGCAGCCCGAGTCGTGACCACGTCCAGATCGGGATCTGCCCCGACCGGTCTGAGCCACCGTTGGCGTCCAATAGGTGGCGCCACCGGTGAGCAGAGGTGCTGCCACCTCGCATCATCTCACGGAGGCGCGGACCGCCCGAGGCCTCCGCAGAATCGGCGCCGTTTCCGCCACCTGGACCGCCACCACGCACTTCGGCTGAGCGGCTCTTCCTGCCTCGCCTCACTTGACGGTAAACGTCGCTGCGGTCGGGTGTATAGGTGGCGCTAGGGTCGCGGGAGGGGCGAGATTTCCGAGGGGTTTCGCCGTAGCTCGAGGAGACACTGTAGCTCGTGTGGCGACCATCGGGGTCACCGCCGGCGTAGGCACAGTCCTCCGTCTGTGGGACGATATAGAGATGCGTGTTGTTTACGGCATGGAAAGACGCGACATAAAACGTCTCCAAGTGCGAGCTTACAGCGACAAAAGTCGAAACGCGAAAATATATGACGTGTGGTACAAGCCGCCACCGGGCTCTGCTCATTTGGTATAGCTTTGAAGACCACGAATTTCAGTTGCGTATGAATCCGTTTATTTTCTGACCAGGTTGTCTTTAACCTGGCGCCACAATAGCAATACGTTGAAGTGATTGCTCCACCTTTGTACACGGCTTTGAGTTCAAACGGTCGGGTTGTGCTGCATTATGAGACACTCACAGCATCATCTTTTCAAAGCATATAACGCTCTGTTTACAATTTGAGTGCAATAGGTAGACTGGACTTGTCAATACCGGGCTACGTACAACAACAAACTGTCATATGATAACGAATGAAAGCATTTTAGATCACCTGTGTTGCCAAGTGGAGCGTAACACCACGGGATTGACACTTTTTGTGGACATAATTATGACACTCCCAAAACACCTTGGCTTAAGGATAGCATGACCACGTCCAGTGTGTCTCTACAGTCATGTTTCTGCCTTTCATTGCAGTCACTGAAAGTACAACGTTCCATTCAAAACATCCCATTATGTCGACACATGTGCCACGCATTTCGCCACGGGTGTCATGCGTCTCGCCACGGGTGTCATGCGTCTCGCCATGGGTGTCATGCGTCTCGCCACGGGTGTCATGCGTCTCGCCACGGGTGTCATGCGTCTCGCCACGGGTGTCATGCGTCTCGCCACGGGTGTCATGCGTCTCGCCACGGGTGTCGTGCGTCTCGCCACGGGTGTCGTGCGTCTCGCCACGGGTGTCGTGCGTCTCGCCACGGGTGTCGTGCGTCTCGCCACGGGTGTCATGCGTCTCGCCACGGGTGTCATGCGTCTCGCCACGGGTGTGTCGTGCGTCTCAGGCTACGGGTGTCGTGCGTCTCGCTCAGGGTGTCGTGCGTCTCGCTACGGGTGTCGTGCGTCTCGCTACGGGTTGTCGTGCGTCTCGCTACGGTGTGTCATGCGTCTCGCCTATTCACCTCCATGCCTTCGGAGTCGGTGCACTGGAAGCACGTCATGCCGTCTCGCTTGACCTCCTTGCAGTTATCGTCGTTTCTCTTGTGCGACATTGCATCCAGCATATCGCTGACGGCTTCCCGAGTATCTTCGTAGCCCTGGGAGGCTTCCTCCTGTATCTCTCCTGAAAGAAGAGGTGACGGACTGAGATTAGTTCGGTGAAGCGTCTAACCACATAAATCAAAGCTTTATTTTCTATGATCCTTATTCAATACATTTTGCAATAAGTCTCATGTCTTCTGACTGAGGTAACTGATATTTGTCCTCCTCCAAGCGCAATTCCAGGCTCCATGTCACGCTGTCACATTTACTCTCACCAGAGAGTATACGTAAGGGAGTAACTCAAAGCTTTATGCCATGCTGCCACGTTTACTCTCGTCGGAGAGTATATATGAGAGAGTAACTCCAGGCTTTATGCCATGCTGTCGCGTTTGCTTTCGTCCGAAAGTAGGCGTAAAAGAGTAAATCCTGACTTTATGCCAGGCAACCGTGTTTGTTCTCGTCGGAAAGTATACGTGAGTGAGTAACTCCAAGCTTTACGCCATACTGTCACGTTTACTCCTATCGGAGAGCATACATTAGAGAGTAACTCCAGGCTTTACGCCAAGTTGTCGCCTTTGCTCACATCGAAGAATAGACGACATGCTCTCATGCCGACACACTTACAAATGATCTTCGCTGTTTACAACTATCGGCGCGAGAAGTTTTGTATGCCAAGTGATTACCGCGGTTGCGTCGTTTTCAGATGTCACCTACCTGCCCTCCGACTGAATTGCTTATCGCGGTCCGTTCCGCGCGTCCTGTCGCCGCCCTCGTACGCTTCATTTCCGTATCTGAGACCGTGGCGCTTCGGGTACCGCCTCCGCCGTTTCCTGCGTCCATTCAAGGCTCCGCTGTAGTACTCATCTTGGTCATTTTCGGTCTCGTTATCCTTTTCGTAAAAGTCGTCACCCACTCGGCCGTTGTCAGGACGACTGTTGCCACGGTAACCGTCGTCAGGGCGACGGTTTGCCACGGGAGCCGTCGGCGGGACGTCCGTTGCTAGGGTAGTATTCATCATCATATGTGTAATCGGCTGGGTAGTCTTCATCCTGACGATCGTCGCCATGGTAACCAGCGTTCTCGTAGTCATCATAGTCTACTTGCGGACGTTTTTTTGTAGCTGAAAAAAATGTTACGTCATTTCGAGACAAGCAAGTTATGCAGGAGAACCAGGACATGCATATCACGTTATTTTTCCGAACAGTGTCAGTTTTCAAATCGCGCTTCCACACAAGGCACGCTCGGATCAGCCGTCAACAGCCCCAAAGTCGTGCCGCCACGCATGCAGCGAATTTGTTGGTACGAACTTGAAAAAAATAATGTCGTTTCAAGCTCATGGGCTAATTCTTTGGGCACCGTCATCTGCCTAACCATCAGTTTGGGACGGTGGGTTTCCGAGTCCTGACCCCAGTAGGCTTCAGCAAGTTGCCAGTTTCGTGTTCCAAACAGCGTCGAGGCGGAATGGACTCCAGTAACCTGTCTTGAGTGAATACTTCCGGTTGCAGCCGTCGTACTTGAGAATAAGTAGCCCTGTCTACAGTTGTGGACTACTGCGCGTGCGATGAAGCCAAAAGGGTTCCTCCTTACATGCATAGAACAACCCAGATGTGCTTCTTCCGTGAGAAATTGTAAAAACTTGTCATGCGCATTCAATGTGGATGATTTTGTAATGGTGTTCGAAGATGGCATCATCCATCTAGTTGCACAATACTTCACGCACAAAGTCCATGCGGTGGATTTGAAAAGAGTCTTAACCATGCGCGGTTTTAACACGGACAAGCCAATCGGCACATTAGATCAGCAGTGTCGGACAAACAGCCTTGTCACTGAAGGTTGCAAAGGTGTTCTCATGTGACATGAAATCATAGATAACAGTAACACACATGACAACATCCTTTCTTAACGCAAGTGCCTTGGCAAAATCTAGTAAAAGGCAACTTTTTAAGCGGACAGGAGACCTGCCTTCCGGCACCGAAGGAGTGGGAGTGTTGTCGGGGCGGCATCCGTCTCAGTGTAATCTTCTCTTTGTTTTGACCCCTGACCTGACCTGGTCCGCTGCGGCCGGCCGTAGAAGTCGTGCCGGATGTGCCCTTCCTCGCCGCCAGATGCGTCATCCTCGTCGTCGTGGAAGTGCTGGATGCTTTCACGCGGGGCATATCTGTCGCACGAGTGCAGTGTGCTGGGTCACGGGTTCGATCCCCAGAAGGGTAAAATTTTACGTCAACGATGTACTGGTGCATATTCGGCGATGTTGCTACATACTTCGGCTCGTCATCTTCGGCACTTAGGTGCAGACAAACGTCTGAGAGAAGGGTAATCTGTCGAATGGTAATGTTTCATTTGGTAGTTGGTTGAGGTTTTAAAGAGCCGGATCCATCTGTTACCACGCGCTGGCGTCAATCTTCTCTTTACGTTGTTTGGCAACTGTGCGTACTTTTACGGTCATTTAAGCTACGGTTAAGGCGGTCTTTTACGAGAAACTCCCAAATGCGTCCTACCAGGTGACTCAAGCGTTATCACTAGAGCACCGTCACACCTTTGTTTACCCACCACCCACCTCGATAAATAAATAATACTTGGAAACTACAGTGCAACCGCCAACGGTCAAAACAAACTTACCCCTCACGTGTTACGCGACCGACCCTCACCTGAAATACGGGTCGCTGTCGTCCTCCCTGGGCAGGTAGCGTTCGTACGGGTCGCGTTGGACGGCGTACGTAGTTTTTGCCGGCCCTGCTGACGACCGTAGTCGGTGTAGTGTGGTTGGTACGCTTCCTGGAAGCTGCGACCCGGCCGACGTCAGGTCGCCAGAGGTCACGGGGTCAGACACAGCCGTATGAAGGTCAGCATGAGCTACAACCACCTGACGCTTGGTTGAAGCTCCTCGGGGTGTGAGCAGAGGTCACAGCAAGGTCAGCAGGGGTCGCAAAGAGATCAGTAGAGGTCGCGGGGAGGTCAGCACGGCCTCTCACCGACCGCCTGCTGATCTGATGTGCTGGTAGCATGGGCACGAAACCCTCTGTGGATCACTCCGGGCGTGAACGACGACGCGGCGCTCTTCGCGTCGCGCTGCGGCGCCTGCACCATCTCGAGCAGCGCCTGCACCTGCGCGGGGTTCAGGGGCGCCTTCAGAGCGTGTCCTGGCCCCACGAGCGCCGCGGGCGCTTTCGGCGCGCTGGCGCCGGCGCCGGCGCCGGTCGGGCGGGGGCGGATCTGCGGCCGCACGGAGCCGGGCGGCACGTCGCCCCGAAAAATGGTCGTCTTCGAGCCGGTCGCCGGCTGCCGCCGGGGCACACCCTTGCGGTGACGATGGATGACGGGATGAATGTTGCGCACCTGCTCCGTGTAGATCACCAGGCCCTCGGGGCTGCCGCTGTCTCGCCTGGCGCGTCGCAGCACCCGGGGGAAGGTTTCGTCGTACAGTGCCGCCTCCTGCTCGTCCGGTGTGCCGTAGGGGCCGCGGTACATCGCCTCTTCCTCGCGGTAGCGGCTGGGGTACGCGCGCCGGTGCGCGCCGCCGCTGCGATACGGGCTGTACTCGCCGGGGTCACCCTCATCGGCCACGGCGCGGTACGCCTCCTCCTCCTCCTCCGCCTCGCGATAGACGTCGAATCCCTCCAGTGCTCCGCCCGGCCGCCCGGCATTCTCATCACGATGAGGCGTCTCCCCGCGGTCGTCGTAGTTCTGTCGGTGGCCGTCCAAATTGTAGTTGTACTCCTCACCGCCAGGGGCGCTAGTGGAGTCATCATCCGGTCGCCGGTCGGCCGGCTGGCGGAAGGGAACGCTGAAGGCGGGCTCTTTCGAGGGAGCGAAGCTCGGGCTGCCTCCGCCATCGGTGCCATCGAAGGCGTGCGCGGAGGCGTCCCGTATCTTGGCCATCAGATCCTGGTGCGCGCCACCACCCATGAAGCCAGACGCGTCATCCTGGCGCGCTCCGGCCGGGTCATTGAAGGTACCGCTGCGATCTTCGGACGTCAAACGGTTAATGGCAGCGCCACCATCACCACTGCCGCCGCGATCGAGGCCTCGGGAGTCGCGGAAGCCTTTGAAGCGGTTCTCGCCCCCCGCCGGATAAAAGCCTGTGACGTCAGAGTCTGTGTCACGGCCCCGCGCACGCGACGCCGCGGGCCGGTAGGTGACGTCATCCCGGGAGGCCTCCGCCGTCGGGCGCCCAGCCTCATGGGCGCCGCTGTTTCGCGGATGGTGCTGCTGGGCGCTGCGCTCCTGGCCCCTGAAGCAGGCGGGGACATTGCGATGATGAAACGGAGATGGCAGCTGACGCTACACGCTCAGGTACAGTGAGCGGGCACTCGCTGCTAACCTTGAGCGGGAGACTGCAGGGTGCAGCTGCGGCGCAGCAGACAACGCTTACGTGATGCGATTCATGGATGCAAGAAAATTAAATATTATTCTGAATGTTCTGCGCAGAAGGCCTGCGATTGTATTACACGGTTTTTAATCGGACATAATTTGAATTGTTATTTATTATTAATTATTATGTATTTCTAAATCATGGGGACCGTTTGTTTGCAGAATCTGGGTAATTATGAAACAAGATGTAAGGCGTCGTAATTAGATCACGACACTTCTCACAAGAAGCGCTCAGAATTATTGACTCGCACAATAGTGCGAGCACCCTTCCAAAAACTTAGCTGATGGGTAGGGCCAATGTATCAATAAGCAATGCAGTCCAAATTCCATAGCGTTTAGATAAGCAATACCAATATTTAAATCATTGCCTGGATTACATTGGCCCACATTACAGGAACAGCAGAAGCCCGCATACGCACGGGAGTAGCTGACACTGGTTGCATTTTATCCTAAACTGCGAACAATCCTGTCCTGGTTGAAATCCATGCAAACTATGTGCGGCCAACAATTTTTCATGACCAGTTCAGACAAAATGCTAGCTGCAGCTCTGTCGGCTCTATTTAACTGCAGCTCTACATCTCCATCAAACATGCATCCGAACACGCTAGGGTCTCATGAGGTAAGATCATCACGCTAGAATCGTGCTATTACGTGACACATGTAAACCTTCGTGAGTATCTGTGTCTTAACGTTGTCTTGCAGTATTCCAATAATCTGACTCACTTTTTTGCAGCTTTGAAGACTTGGTACATATTTCGAAGTTGTGTGCTTGTGTAAGTTGCTTTGGACTTAAAACCATCATAAGAGGTACTATATGAGCTCAAATCAAACCAACAACGTCGAGCAAATTTCATCTAGGAGACTGCAGCGATCTGAGAGCAATTCTCTTGCGATAGGGCACGCTGTAACACTGTACCAACCAAGATCCGCGGCAATGGGTTTTCGGCTATGAGGTGCTCGGCATTTGACTGTTCAGTCTGGAGGCCATCCCTGAGGACACCACCGCGCTCTGACACCGGGGCAGACCGCTGATGACCGAGCTCAATAAATCGACACCAGAAAAACAGTCCACTGCATACATGCGTGCCAGAGCGGCATGCAGCCAGCTACCCTGTGAGCGTCCTGCGAGGGTATCCAAAGCATGAAGCTCTGCGATGTGCGTTCAGTACGTGCATGACGTGACGGACCTGGCTGAGACGTCCCTGCGACGTGGCGACAAAACTGTTTATTCATTTTATTTGTGACAAAGCAATCCAGTTTGTACCTGCACCTGTTGGTGGAAGTTTTGTGGATCCAACGGTCATGGATGCTATCACTGGGAGGAGGAGAAGGGGCATGGAGAGCACGCTTCCTTAATCATCAAAAAGTTGAATTTTACTATCTTCAATTTTGCTTGTAGAACAGATCTTCATGTGATGATTTCTCATTTAAATCGACATTTTCCTGTCAGGATATCCCTAGATCCCGGTGTACGCCGTCCAGTCCTAATCTAAGCCCCCCAAGTACTTCGGAGACGCGGTTTGACCCAGGCCAGCCACCACCTTTCGGAAGGTTTTACGCAACTCAAGCC